CTCTCTCTCCCTCTCCCTCTCCCTCTCCCTCTTTCTCTCTGTTTTGGTATAGATAACCATTCTTACAATTAGAAAAGGATGGCTTGTAAAATACACGTCGTTACCTCTATATCTTACCATGACTCCTGTTTTTATCTAAACACTCCATTATTTTTAAAAAAAAATCCCTCTGTTGTCGCTCTCTGCTCTTTTGCTTTACCCTGCAACTGCTGTATAGATGATCTTTACCCAAATTGAAACGCCGTCCTCCTAAACCTCTATTACCTCCCATCTGGGTAGTGCTACTGACTGAAGTGTCTTTAGACCATTCCCAAAGGGGAGATATTAACACGTTCTTATGCACAGTAGAATTGTAAATGGTCTGATTTATCAATGTCATGCCTACACTGTGCCTGAACAACATAAGGGGAACTGCTGCTTTTTCTTTCTTCATCCTTACTATCGTTATTTTCCCTCTAGTTCTTTTGTATGTATGTCACTCTGTTGTGAACTGCTATTTCGGGGGTGCCTTGATAGTCGAAGCAGACTTTGTGCTGTTGAGTCAAGAGAGGTGTGCAGAGCATGCCTGGTTCCCCGTTTGGACTTCTCTGTTGACATCCACCCCTTGGCGCTCATATGACCTTACGCAGTTGCGAGCGCCGTAAAACCTTACAAAAAACCCCGCTCTTACTTAAACAAAATGAATCCCTTTTTTTCACAACCACCACAGTCTGCAGCGTGAGGTGAACGAGATCAGAGAATCTGTGAGGATCCTCAAGGAGCGTCTCAAATCCTCCGAGCTGTCCCTGGCTCGTCTCATGAAGACCAAGGCCACCCTTGAGCATGACATCTCCGTCAAGGACAACTCCCTCAAGATCGACTCTTCCTTCTGCATGGGCATGCGCAAAGGCTTCCCCATGGATCCTAAAGTCGGGCCCATATTTCAAATGCCCATCTGCTAGTGGGGGATCAGATTTAGCAACGTTAGCAAAACAGTACCATCATGAAAGAATGTGATAGCCTTTCAAAATAAAGTATTTTGCATGTCATATGTAAAGTAAAATGATTCAGACAGATATTTCTATAAAATCAATTCTTTTCTTTAACGTATTTATTAATTTGCTGTACAATGTCATCTATTTGCGACATTTCAACATCCTATTCTCTTATGGTAATACCATGTTTTGAATAAACACATTCATTTTTTATCATCTTAACGTTATAGTGGACAATCTTGCCTATAGTTCTTAATCGTAATCATTTCAATATGATATTAAGGACATTTTAAAAGACTTTCATTCTTTGCCGTATTCATGCTGCACTAACTTATAGTGAACACCCGAGTTAGAATGACCTCAAATTTCATCAACGAAGTTGCATCTTTAAATAGACGTTTCTGCCTAGTGGTCTGTAAAGATCTGCGTGCCACTCCAAAGACAAGCACTACAACGTGCAAAGAAATAATAAACAAACGAAACAAAACAAAATAACCTCACAATATTCTTTTTGCCTTGTTGCGGAGAAATATTTTTCCTATACAGTTAACCTTGGTGCACCGAATGACTCATGCCTCTTTGTTGTACAAATCTTTTTGATTATTTATCGTGTGAATGATTGATGAATCATGTCCAAGGAACTTCATAAATTGAAGAAAGAAATGTATTTTGCCTTATTTCATCTTGTTTTAAACTTTTCACAACAGTATTAAATTCGCTCTGTCTCTACTGAATTGTTGAAAGAGAACATAACATTTTCGACTACGTCTCTTTTCCCTTTCGTCCCCTTGCTGTTTTTGCCCTTGACCTTGGTAGTCAAGGTCACTGAAGATGGACAATATATCTGTGGAGACCATTCTGGTGGCAACTGCAACTGACAAAGTGTGTCCAATCTTCCCCAAAAACTGGAGGATAAAATGTCTGTCTCAGTTCAGTACTATGATTTTCTTTGTATGTAAAAGAAATAATAAAGAGCGTTGCCTGAGCGTAAGGTACCCATGTATTGTAATTAATATAATATGAAAGTGCCGTAACATTTTTTCGCTCAAATGTGTTGAGTCGATTCTCCTCACAAAAATCATAACCACCACCACCACCACCACCAACAAGAACACAGTTGAGGGGAAGATAAAGCTTTGAGCCCAAAAGCAAAATTGTGTTGTCTCCCGTACTTTACAAGTTTTAGTTGTCTTTTTGTGTGTTATGTACTGTAACGTTTGCGGACGTTCAGTCCTATGGCCCTAGGAACCAGTGATGCACAGATCTGTAACATAAACATCCTAGTTGATGCTATATCCATCCATCCTTTCATCCGATCTTGTCTCGATCTTGAACAAGGCGTCTTCAATCTCTTTCCCTCCCCCATCAATCCCTCATGTCCTTATTCTTTAATCAACCCCTCCCCCCTCTTTTTCCGATTTTTAAACTCCTTCCAACCGTTCAGAATTGCACTCTTTTTTAGATCTGAAAAGTTTTCGATTCCAAAGACGCCCCAACCCCGCACTTGTCATCCTCACCCAGTGGAATGTTTGTTTTTTGTCAAGTGCAAAAAGTGTTTGATCGTTTGAGTGGTAAAAATATTTGATTTTTCAGTGTAATCCACTTCAGGGTTTTATCACAAAGTACAATACTTAATGCATCCTGATCCTCTATTCTGCCCACCCTACCGACCAAATGTACAATTATAACCACGTGTCGATGACGTTTTCTCGGAATCTCCTAACACTACAGTTGGCCTGCACGGCATTTTAAGTCGGTCAGTTCATTTGTGGCTTGATGGGAAGAACTGGTCAAAGGTTCATCTATCCGACCCCAGACCGTGTGCCAGTGAACAAAAGGCTTAGGACGAACTTGCGTTGTGACCATAAGTATTGGTTAGGAATTCCAGAGTTGTAGATCTTTAGAGAATAGCCAGTTGTCAAAAGCTGATTTTAATGTGCTGATATAAATGCTCCATGTCACTTTATATATTTTGAAATATAATTATAATACTATGAGCTCCTCAAACGGCTGTGATTTAAACGTAGATGTTGTCCCCACAACGAAAATTGGGCGCACGCGTGCTCGCGCACATATACATGTACAATGTATATATACATAGCATATACAGCAAAACTACAGAATCCTTCCTATTTCATACATACACCTACTCAGACTCGTACAGTAGAGCACGAAGTTGTAATGAATCTCGTCTCGTATTTCCACACCTAACAGTATTACTGAGACTTCTTTTAAATACAAGTACATACTGTACCATACTATGTATAAAAACATGACTTTTCTCTGCTCGGAGTCGTCCGAGAGACGAACGCCTTTTTTCTGATTTGGTCTTCTCGTCTTTTCGTGGCTTTGACTTTTCCTCGATGTTTCTCCCATTGTTTGTAACGAAACATGAATAAAACTTAAAGCTGTACATTGTCACCCTCTGTTTTGTCGACTTTTTGTCCTCTACAGGTTACACACAGTTAACCGTTTTGACAATAATATAATATATTTTATATTATATAAATTTGCCGCTTGTACAGTCTGCAAGCTTATCATTACAAAATTTAAGAAAATCCTTTACCGCACACTGAAAGTGTTTTCAGTAAGCCATGACATCAAGAATGTGATTGTTACCGGAGCCAAGAAGACCATCGGGAGAAAAGTGGATGTGTAACGTAGACATGTCCCAAAGTACAATTGTCGCAAAAATACGCCAACCGAGAGAACTGTTATACTAGGCATTTTGGAACAAATGTTCTCCAGAGTAATAGGAACACTAAACAGGTGGGTGATTGGCATGTGCTCTGGTGTGGAATCGAACATACATCTTCATTATCCCCCCCCTCCCCCCTTTCTTCTTTTCTTCGTTTGTTACTCTCTAGTAACACCCAATCTTCAGGACTTACTACATAACCTATTTGTGTTGTGTCCATTTTAATTCTGTTTGGACATGACAAGCAGGGACAAAGCAGTATAACGCCCAAATGATCTTGGTCGTTTCAATGAGGGCGTAAAGACCTCAAATTACAAGTCTTACACAAAAGATGACACAGTCAAAGTGCTTCGATAGTCTCTGTCAAAATAAACAAGTAATTAAGCCAATGGAAGCCCACACATTTCTATATGGTTCCTACTTCAGAAACATCGTTTAGCTTTGATTTCTGCAATGAATTTTGCTTAAGAAATCGCCACAAAAACAATAGGCCCTTAGACTTAGAGTGAGGCGCACAAAGCTATATTTGACAACTTCAGAGGGATCAAGACAGCTGGAAATCTCGTTCAGCGACAGCTATATCACAGGTTCTTTTTCAAGAATCTTAGACATGCAAAAATCCTTAGGTAGTGCGTGATTTCACCAAATTTTGGGTTGTTTACGCGTAAACAAATATTTTGACTCGTGATGATTACTTCAAATTGCGTTTCTTCCCTTGTACATATACCTCTTTTTTTTCTTTTGTTTGTTTTTTCTTTTTTTTAAAAAGGGGGGGGGGGGGGGGGTCCAGTACGAACTTGTGGCCACACATGTGGTTCAAAATGAGTGTTCTTTATGTGGCAAAGGTTGGGGTGGGTTATCAAGTTCTCTGAAGGTCACTGTAAGGGGAAACATAATACAGTACAGACGTCTAGCTGTGTATGTATGACCTAGGCAAACAAAGTGCCAAAATATGCAACCGGTGTTTATAAGAGTTGTGCGAGAGCGAACGTCCAGCCTTTCATTCTTTTCGATGTTTACTTTTGTTCAGGACAGTCTGGGAGCAGTCAGGTGTATTACTATCTGGTGACTGAGGCCCACATTTCCTAATCATCGCTATGAGCACTCCAAGTCCAAGTAAACAAACTTGAGAAACAGGAAAGGGCAAAGCGCTAGGGGCGACTGTCACTTTGATTTTGTTTTGTTGTTGGTGTTGTTATTTCTTTCTTTCATTTGTTGTAGATATTACTTTTTATTTTGTTGTTATTGTTATTATTTCTGTTGCTGCTATCACTAATATGTCTGTTATCGGTTTTTAAAAACTCTGATTGTTCTTGTTGTTTTCTTTCTTTTTTTTTTTTAGAAGTGGGGGGGGGGGGGGGAGCAGTTACTCGTCTTTATCTTATTTTTTCTATTCTTTTTATTGTTATCGTTTCATTGTTGTTTATTTTGTTCTTGTTATTACTGTTGTTTCACCAGCGTCTGTGCTTTAGTGGTTAGGCGCTTCACCGTCGTACGCAGAAGACCTGGGTTCGATTCCAGCGTGGGGAGAATTCTTATCTGGTATCTCGGTCCTTCTGTTGGGATGTTGTATCCTTCTTTGTCCAGGTTAGCCCTGACAGGTAGTGTCAAAGTCAGCCCCCTAAATTATTTTGATAGGGGCGTAAAACCCCTGCATTTGAAAAGAAATGTCTCTTTTGTTGCTGTTGTTGTTGTTGCTGAACGACTTACAAAACTCCACGAGAATAGGTCATTCCAAACGTGAATCACTTAATGTTTTCCCAACCGACAGGACATTGGGCTAAGTGAAGCTATCTTACGGCGAACGAGAAATGCTAATTTCCACCCTGCCCTGATAAACATTTTCATTTTCCAAGTGGTAAATCAAGACCATATCCTACTACCCCACAACAGCATGTTTGACTTCACGTGGCCAGTGGTATTGGTCAAATCCCTGGCTGGGGACTGGCTGGTCAAGACAGAGTAACGCGGATCAGCGATGTCATGACCGATTAAATAATGGCAGCCCGAAGTGTGAAGATAATGACTTTATCGCTTGCCTTGCCGCGTGTGAACTGACGGGTACATTAGCCGGCAAGATCATATTAAAGCTGTGCTGGGTCATATAGCATTGACGTCCAGGTATGCAGGCATGGGCACTATCTGTGCTTATAGAAAACATATAAATAAATAAATAAATAATTAATAGACAAACAAACAAACAAACAAACAAACAAACAAAGCAAGTGACGTATTCTGAATCGACTAAGGAGGCACCTGCTCCAATAGCTTAATGAGTTCTGTTTAGGGTTCCTAATAAATGCCGTATTATGATATTATGATTAGCTGTTTGTTTGTGTTTTAGCCGCGGTCAACATTACTAAGTCACTGGAGAGGCGGGGGTCACCAAACTGAAGCTCCATCTCCGATAGTAAGTTAGTAAGTACGTGAATGGGCTTTAAACTCCTAGCACCACTATTAGGTTAATTAAGAAGCGAGATCTCCAAATTTAACATCTGTTTCTGAAAGGACCGAGTCAAAAGCGTAGAGAGCTTTGAAAAACTTCACAAAAATGATCCGAGTTAAAGAACACCCAGTTTGGGATTCGAACCAAAGTCACCACTGCTCCGTGGCCCAGCAAGATACCGTCTCTGATAACGGAGTGCTGCATCTCCCATAGCATCAAACCATGTGTGTGGGCAGTTTAAAATCTTTCCTAACAGCAAAGTAGTTCAAGAGTGCTCCTACTTGGGATTTGAATTAAGTTCGCAAATAAGCTAGTCCAGGATAAAATCAGAGCTGGTATTGGTTGGCCCACGTTCTTCCATATCCTCCCAAACTATAACTTACAAACAGCATGGGCGGGCAGTTCTCTACATTGAAAAGTTGCTTCAGCTAGAGAAAAGTTGAAAGTTTCCTCTCAGCTACGTCACTCCTGTGGTACACCAGACAGACGTTCTTATAAGGGATACACATAATCAAAATCTTGAATGCCTCGGATAGATTACCCATAAACGGAATCAATATCCCTTGAAAAATTATGTGATTTAACTCTGAAAATTATAATAATAAGTTTGAATTGCCACATGTGTGCCACCTCAAACTTATTAGTTTTCAGTTAAATCCGGTGTTTCTTAAGGAGGAAAATGATTCGGGAGAAATTGGTTCCTTGTCTGAGTCTAAGGTTAAACTCGAGGTCCAAAGGCGGTTTAATTTTTTTTTTTGGTGTCAAGGTGTGCGCCACCGGACAACATTTTGAACATCAAGGCATAAAAAGAACATTTAACCATGTACTTTATCAACTGGTCCAAAACTATCTAAATTAACCCCGGTGAGATCTCACAAAACACAGTGACCTACTAATGTGCATAACGATGCTTTAAAAAATCGATCCACAAAAATAGCCTTTGGAAACATTGCCAGTAGCTCCGCCAACAATTGAGATCTCTCTTATAGTGTTGAACATTTTCTTCTTTTCGCTCGTTTTAACAACCACGACTTCTCCGAGCAGCTGACAATTGTCAAAGAGACAATTCAAAGTGACCGTAGGGACGAAAACAACAACAAAGACGAAGACAAAGACAAGGGCAAGGACATTTTTGTGGTTAATGTTAATAAGGTCAAGATCCTGTGTAATTGTCTGAAAGCTCACAAAGCGAGTGGACCCGATGGAGTAAAAAGTAACATTATTAAAATGTGTTCTACTCAGTTATCTCCCATGTATACTGATATTTTAATGATGTCTTTGAAAGTACGCCTAATACCACTTTCGTGGAAATGCTCCGAAATAATTCCAAAAGAAACAATCGATACAAAATTTTAATGACCTATGACCTGTGGCTTTAACATCAGTCCTTACGAAATGATTTTTTTTAAAAACGGGTTCTGAAAGAACTGAGGAAATCAACAGAAGACGTAAAGGATAACATGCAATTTGTCTATCGGGCAAAGAGGGACGTAGAGGATACCATTCTCGTGTGCTTAGAAAACATCTACAAACGCATAGACACACCACGTAATTATTGCAGGATACTTTTCCTGATTTTGTATCCGTCTTCAACACATTCCAACCCCACATAATGGTTTCAAAATTGATTAACATGAACATTAACAAAAACCGTATTGCTAGATTCTTGAGTTCTTGACCAATTGCTTTCAATATGTAAAATTTAATGGCGTTAAATCCCTCCTAATATTCACGAACACCAGTGTGCTCCAAGGTTGTGTAATCTCCCTGGCGCTCGACACCAAAGACAGTACTTTTAATAACAAAAACATCAAACTAATAACTTTTGCGGATGATTCCACTCTACAAGGACTTATGACAATAAATGAGAATGAATACAAGGACACTGAAAATATATTTACAAATTGGCGTGATAACCACTTCCTTTTGCTAAATGTGAAGAAGACAAAGGATTTAACAATAGACAAGAATTTAAAAAAAAAGATAAATTGCAACCACTATTAATTAAAGATGAGGACGTGGAGGTTGTAAACTCTTACAAATACCTAGGAACAACAATTGATAACGAGCTTGATTAACATTCCCATATTGCTCTTTTACATAATAAAATATACAAAAGAGTGTTCTTTTAAAGAAAATTAAGGGGGGAGGGGGGGAGGGCACCCTCCCAAAGTTCCGTTTCGTCTCAAAATTATGGAATTTGAGTTGTTGTCAAGTTTAGCTTCCTCAGTCTCTCCTACAACTATTTCATCACACAAGAACCCCCAAAAGTCTTATTTATTCCCATACCTGGCATGTTTGTCACCACCATTTCCTCATAAAGTCAATATTTCATTTTTCTTTTTCGGCCATTTTCTCAAAACGCAGCTTTTCTCTATACTAAAAAAACCCACAAAAATAACTCCACTATTTTTTATCCAATCTTCATGACATTTTCACAGAATGAAGACAAGATGTAAAACTAAAAATTCATAAATTGAATTTTTGATATATGAAATAGGTTTTTGTTGATGGTGTCTGGAGTGTGAATTTTCACGGATTTTTCGCAAACTTTAATACTACCTCAGGAAAACATTCATTAAAAAAGTTTCTAATTCGTTTGGGAAAAAATCAACAGACAAATTTTTAGATCTAATGTTTGCTAACATGCTTGCAAAAAAAAAAAGACTAATCGATTTCCATGAATAATAAGAGCGGTATTCATTACGTAAGACATGTCAACAAAATCCAATATGGCGCCGTGTCCCTGGAAATGAAACTTTTTTTCTCACATTTGATCGCGGATTTTAAGACTCCTTACTATGCTTGTTATATGTGTGAAATTTGGTAAAAGTTGGTCCTCTACTAAGCGAGATAACCTTCAGGTGTAACCCCCCCCCCCCACCCCTCTTAAGAAGTTTTCGTGAAGATAATATTAATAATAAGATGCTGTCCCTTATATACCATTCTATGATTGAAAGCGTGCTACAATTTTGTATTTGCTTCTGGGAATTGTAGGGTGAAAGATAAAGAAAACATTGACAGAACCATTAAGAAAGCCAGCAAGATCTCTGGACATCATATTACTAGAATTGATAAAATGTTTAAGATCACAAGTATGAAAAAAATAAACAGTACTATACACGACCCATCACACCCCCTTTCCACACTCATTGTAAGATCACGCGGCGTCAGATATGTACCTCTAAAAAAAAAAGAAAGAAAGAAAGATACAAAAACTTTTTTTAAAAAAAATCCAGCATAAGGCTACTGTCAGAATAAACATCAATGTGTATTGCTTTTTCGCGTACGTATTTATAAAACTCTAAAGGTTGTGTAATTAAATTCCTGCATGTGGTTGAATGATGCATCTGATGTGATACGTTCATTTTTCAGCTTTACTTATCTTTTCATATTGAATTCCAATGAGAGTAATAATATAAAATTACAATTTTTTATGTATACCTGCGTGTGTTTTTACGATCCTTAACAGCCAAGAAAAGTTTCCGTCTGGGACAATAAATTACTATCTATCTTATAACAAGATGACTCTTGTGAACTTAAAATGTCGTAGTATGTTACGAGACAATTTTTGTTGTATCTAGAAGAGAAAAAATAGCTTGTACCAATGGCGTAGTCACATACGAGCAGATTAGACAAGATATGTAGTATCATCATACTTAATAGAAAGGGACTGATTGAAGTACCTGAGAGAAGAGTTTATTTTGTTTTGTGGACTAAAGAATTCTATTAACTTTGTAGCTTGTGGGCTAGATCACAATAACATTTCATTATACTCACATTGGTTGAAACATAAAGCAATTTTTTCATTAACTAATGAATACAATTCCTGAAATAAATAGCAGGTGGATTCAATGGCTTCTTTACTCAAATGAGACATTTTTGTCAATCAAATAAGCGTTACTATCATACAAAAACAGGCAATAGTACCTCTACAAACTTCAAATTTCAAGTTTGAGGAAAAATTGAACCCCCCCCCCCCCCCAAGATATCAATAAAACATAGCAGAGTTAAAAAAAAGACTTACTGTTCTTTGACCTTAAGCATGTGGACCTTCGAAAGACGACGAAGGAAAAAAATAAAGGGACAATGAACTTATTGAATACCTAAACGATTGTTGTACACAACCTTGAAGGATCCAGTGTGTTCAGTTTGATAGAAAAGGTCAAGGTTCAATCAAAAGCACGTCTCCAGGACGGTGAGATAACAAGCTTGCCAGTCGTGCAAGGTCAGGCTCGCGGACGGACAAGACACGGTAAGTTGGGAACCTGTTGCACGGATTTAGATTTTGTTCCATTGTCTTTCCCAGTCTGACTTTTTCTTTCCATTCAATTTTTAAGTTAAAGGTTGCAGGTCTTTTTCAATTTAAAAAATAGGTTAGTGTGTGTGTGGGTGGGGTGGGAGGATGGGTGCTCTTGTTGCATCTGGGGTCCCGGGAGGTAAGGGGCCGGGCTTGTTTTTTCGAGTGTGCTGGGGAGGATCCGTACTGAAGTAGACGTAAAGGCCTCAGTTTTTCAGCTCTAAAATTCCGAAGCAAGCCCCCTTGGTCCGTTCGGAAATGGATATTAACACCTTCACTGCTACGGCGACTAGGGTTTACGTCTCCCCTGTGTGCTTTGAGTCATTGTATTTCGGGCGACTCTCAATATACCTGTATTTTTAACGTGTCAGAGTCAAATGATGCTTGAAATTTAATTTGTATAAGTGGGTCGTGCAAGGCTTTAACATTGCCTGGCCCGAGTCGGTCTCTCCGGCTGGACTACTATACGAATAAGCGAACTCCTGTGTTATACCCCATCTCCCTCACCACTCATCCGTCTCTCCTCTACGACCCATCCTCCCTTTCCCAAACCTCTTCCCCCTTCCATTCTCCCTTTACAACCTCCCATTCCCTTCCACCCTTTCCCTACTTCCAAACACTCACGCCACGGCCCCGTCCACTCGCATTGCCAACTCCTCATCCCACTGCCCACCGGTAACTCCCCAGTTTCACACAGTTAATAGTACCGTCTCCTCAGTTAATACGTCATTGGCTATGGTACAACCACTGCGTGCCCTCAATGAGCACTATAAATTTTTAAGTTTTGCTGGTGCAAGAACTTTAATTCGTTACATTTAAATTGATTTTAAAGATTTTTAAAAATAGAAATATTCATTTTTATCGGTTTTGTTCATTTGCATACGCCTTGCGTAATCACAGTAGGTTAATTCCAATTTACTACTTTTTGCGACGTAAGCCTAGCACAGTCTTTACAATAATATGTAAGCATCTCGTCTGCTTTTCATTTACTGGTCTTATTTCTGCACAATTAAAGTCTTTTTTTAATCACTGAAGGTAGGTAATTAGATTTTCTTGACTTAACCCAACAAGTTCGAGCCGCTGCGGGAAAAAAACAACAACAACACTAAAATAATCTGCAGGTGCTGGCAGTTTTGTAAACACAAAATAAAATGTCTCAGCGTGATCAACTCTCTATCCATTTCGTTGTGGGCTTGAGAGTGTTGAAAGGGATTGGGTCGTGGATGGAGAGGGGACAACGACGATATCAAACTCGTAAAATCAAACGAAAAATTAGCCACAATGATTTATTTCTATCCCTATAAATTAAGATACGCAGGAATGCCCTTTTACTCGAATACTTCCCTCATTACTTAATTATGGGGCCTGACAGTTCAGGGGTTTACAGGGAAGTCCCACCTACTTTTGATTTAATTTAACGTAAACATTTTTGAGTTTCACAACATGTCAAGCCTTTCCGAATGCAATTTGTTGAATATCTTCATAACGACACCAAATAGTCGTACGATTTTGATAGAGCAGATAGAACATTTGGTTTCTGACCTTATGGTCTTGGAAACTCAAAACGGCTAAAAATGTCAGATAGATTTTAATTGTAATTCCAAGGCAGCGATACAATGAGGACAAGTCAAAACAAACTTGACTTCTACAGAAAAACTTTAAAAAATGAAATTTACCGGTAGACATCCATACACGCACCCGCACACACACACACACACACACACACACAC